GGTGCCTGGGAAGGGATACAGAAGTTTAGTGGAAAGTCAGCTGCACACATATATATATATATATATATATGCCGCCCCCTTGACCCCCTGGCACCACCCCTGGCCTGATGGCAGTCCTATGGCAGTCCCAGACGGGTCGTGTTTGGGTATGGGAAGAACACACTCAATCATTGGCGCTTCTTCGATCCCATCTCATCCCTCGTCCGCACCGGATGTTGTGCTGCTGAAGCACCGGATCTTGCTCTGGCCGCGGAGTGGGTGAAGCTGTAGTGAAGATATAAGGGCCCTGCTTGTGGGACATCCACTAGTTACCTAGTTACCTAGTTCTGGTTTATATGGTCCTTCTGGGGAGCATCCACTAGGGCTCCCGCCCATAGTTCTGTTTCTTTTCTCGCCTGGCCACTCACAGTTCACTCGGGTTGCAACATGGGACCCTTGGGTCGCACAGATTTGGCTGCGGATCAACCCCGCAAGATCCAAACCCATGGCAAATTTAACCCTCTTAGAGGTCTGTTCTTTTCATTTTCACTGGTCAACGGCATCCTCGCAGTGTTGATCCACAGCCATTCGTTTCCCCAAGTCTCGGTCGTCACCTTGGCTCTACATGCGCATGAGGTCAGCCTGTGCAGGTGGGAGGGGCCTCGGCAGAGTGGTCGTCCTTCGGCGAACGACTCTTCGGCACGCGCGAAAGCGAAGACTATTGCGGCTGGCGCAGGGCGCATGGCGCGGTGAACCCTCTTTGACTTGAGTGGTTTTGAATTTCAAAAATACATTTACTTCGAGTCATCCCCACCCTGAGAGGAGATGTGGAAGAAGGCAGGGTATTGACAGACTAGCCTGATGAAGGCGGACATGCGGATTGACACTATGTGGTGGTTGTGGCGCCTCTTCTGGCATCAAGTCTGGTTTGTGCTCTGACACATCATCTATCATAAAAGCTGGGAAATGTTCTGGACTGCGTTCTGAGGTCGTTGCTGGCATGTTCTGACATTTTTCCTGCCGTGAAGTCTGACACGTGCTGCGACATATGGTCCGACTTCTGACATGTATTCGGACACTTAGGTTATGAAAGAAAGTGCGTCTATCTTGCATATCCTCGTATTTGGCAAATACTATTGCCTTCTATCAAGCATATACTCTGGCATTCTATTTGGCATATACTCTGCCATTCTGGCATTGTTGGGCATATTTATGGCACTTTACTTGGCATAAGCTCAAGCATTCTATCTCCAATTGTTCAAGCATTCTATTTGGCATATATTGCGGCGGTCGATCTGGCATATACGCTTACATTTTTCTCGCATATATTCTGGCATTCTATCTGGAATATTTTCTGACACTCTATCTGGCAGGCCTCCGAAAAGGAGCGCTTAATTGACTAGACATAGGTTCACCCTGACCAAACATGATCGTCGTGAAGGCTTCACATGAATAGTAGCAGCGCCTACATCAGGTTCTTTAGAGACATGGTCCATCATGTCCATGAGGAAATTAACGTTAATAAGCCAAACTCCACCTGTCTTACTTTTCTTCTAAGACTAGTCCATCAGGTCCCCGGAGAGAGTTGGCCCGGTCGACTGGCCGAGCAAACCTCGTCGATTGCCGCAGGTGGAGCAAAGAGGGCCCACGCCTTCTCTCCAGCAGCGGTGCATCAACGAGGAGCCCACAAAAGCAGTGAGAAAACAAATACATGCCAGACCATTTCCAGTTGCCTGCATCAGGGTCAGAGAATCATAAACAATTAACAATGTATATGTGCAACTCTTCCCAGGCCCATGGATGGTTTGTTGTATGTGACGCTGGTTGATTTCGAGAGGTATTGACATGGATATGTATGGATCAAAAGGGTAGTTTTATCAATTGATCTTGGGACATGGGCCGACATTGGCCATGGACATGGAATCTGCCGGGTAAAACTTGTAGCATCTGGGCAAAGCTAGAAACTCACCGGAACATTCATTGGGGCAGACGGTCCATTTTCTCAATTGGGTTTGGGGCGAACATGTTCACCTGGATCTTGATCTATGTTGCCCAGACATGTCACATTCTGTGCGACCATAAAACTGGGATATTTGATCGGTGCGGCTGGGATTTGGAAGTCAGTTCAGCTGGTGAATGGTTTTATTTTGCTGTGGGTGAATTGTCGAGTCAAAGCAACTCGCCTGAACTTTGTGAAACAACACATACAAGGAGGTCACACACACAGAAGCCCTGAGATGGATCACTTACAGAGAAGGTGATTGCATGGTTTTGTGATTGACCCTACGCAAGGCTTGAACCCATGGTGTTCACAAAAGGGTATTTCATGAGCATAGACATCTATAGGTTGTACACCCACCAATAATTCTAAGTATATTTTTTGAATTCTCAGGATCGGCATATCATCAAAACATATCAACCCTAAAGCTCCAGACCAACCCCTCCGTTCCTCTCGTTTCGGTGTTCTGGGTGGGTGCCAGCGGGGGGTTCTTCGTGTTTGTTCCCTACCGAGGAGGTGGGAGAGGAGCCGTGTTTTTGAAGGTCTGTTTCGAGCCATGCCGAACGATCCGCGTTGTCGAGCGAGGCTCGAGAGATCATGGGGAAAGACAAGGAAGGTGCGATGAATACAGCGGCTTCGCTCGCTGTGTTCTGTCAGAATGGAGTAGAGATGGGTATGGCTGCTTTAATTTAAGGGCCAATCCCAGGAAATTTGTATGTGTTTCCATTTCCGGAATGAACAAGTGAGCAGGGGAGATATCCACATGTATAATGCTTTGTGGAGGCTGAGCCGGCTGAGCCCCAAACGATCGCAGTGCAGCGGCCTGATGGTTTAAAGTCCTACTTTCCTGCAGAATGCTCCTTTCTCCCAACTCAGTGGACCTGAACTTATAAGGGCGTTCGTTCTCTGAAGAATCCACTTCTCAACGCCGAAAGCCGAGAGCCAACTGAAGCCCATGCGGCCCATGCTCCCTGCATCTTCGATCCATGCATGTCAAAGAACCAGGTCAGTGGGCGGAAGAAAACATCCGAATTTGGAGCCTGTTGCCTGACTCACATGGTTTTTTTCACGGTGCAGGTGAGGCGGCTGCCACAAAACCCAGCCCTAGGGATCCACGGCTCCATCGTACCGACCTGGTTCGGTACCACTGGAGCCTCCTGGCACCTACATAACTGTGTCGAACACATTGCCTTTTCAGAGGATATGTGGATAGTAGTAAGGCCAGGAGCGACCCTAGTAGCGTCCGAACGCTCTGTTCGTAGCGATGGCCTCCAACCTACTAGCAATGCGTCCGAACGTTACTACGCCCGTAGCTTAAGAAGCTCCTGGGCCGTTTGCAGGTTCGGAGTGAAACAGAATCGTTGTTTTGTTTTCTCGCCAGGTGCCGTGATCCACGAGGCGGGCTGGCCACCCGTGACGACTCGTGGCATAGGATGGCCAAGGCTCCAAACCCTCAGTGAGAACCACCACGGATTTCAGCCACGGATTTCATGAAAAGACCGAAAATACCTACCCTGCATCACCCCGCGGTGTTTCCAAGGATGTGAACCTATCTTTTCGGGTTTCATACGAACCAAATCCACTGGAGGCGAGGATCGAGTGGTCCTTTCTGGAACTCCGGGGTTCAGGCTAGCTGTTCACGAGAATGCCCACTCAAGCTGTACATTATAGCGCAGAACACTATTACCCAGACACTCCTTATATGCCATATTCACATACATTTGGGTGGTTGTCATACATGGAGTGTTTGGGATAAGAGGTATAAGAAGTTTAGGATCCCATGGGCTACGGTGGATAGAAGGGATTTGATCATCCAGCTACGAATTCTTGTACATCTCCCATGTCATCAGTCGGTCAAGCGCCAAACCAAGCCAAAACAATCAAATTCTGCTGGTCAAAGCAAATATACACCCAAATTCAGCTCTGAACCAACAACTCTTAATGAATGAATTCTACAGCACAACTTTGGTAAATGGAGATAGAAACACCGTCATCATCTTTGGGTCCTTGACGCAAGAATGGGCCTAAAAGATTCCTCAAGTATTTCACACAACTACCTCTGTGGGTAGGACGTGACAGATATCTTCATGTTTCGCGATAATGGCGAAGTCAGCTGGCACGCCAGCATGTTCGATGAAGACTTTGGCACCAACGGGACCCTCAGTGGCAAGAACGGCATCCAGCATTCTCCTTTGATCTCCTTTGTTTCTAAGTCGAATATGCATATACAAACCGTCGATGGACTGAATCTTTCGTGGTCAATGAACCTGGATATGTCGATTATATAAACCCTGTAGACTTTCATCATAGGGTCCCATGTTGGGTCGAAGTGGATGGATTGGTCGCATGTTTTGGTCGATTCGCCTGGTCGTTCTTTCTACCGGGGAGTCTCTTTTGGCTGGACTATGGAGGCAGAAATCGTGCCAGAGGAGGCAGGGCGGGCGGACAGCGGTTTGACCGCCGGACCAGTCGTGTGGTGGTCGACTTTGCGATCCTGGGAATCGGGTCACGCAACCGAAAGACGACATGCGTCTTGACTGAGATAACATGAGATGAGAGTGTATTAGAATGGGGAGACCCTCAGTTCGACCCTCTGGAAGAAGGGACAGACCAGTCTACCTATTGCATTGGTTGGGGACCTTCCTATTGAACTGCATATTCAGATAGGCTGATAAGCTTATCATGTGCCTTTGGAATCCTTGAATCCATTGCGGTGCCAACAATGGGCACTCTTGGAGAAGCTCCAGTCCGGTCTGAAGACTTGTATCAGAGAAGTCCACAGCGACTGAACCTACATCCTGGCACGAGGCAACGGCCATGTTGGGACCACCGCTGGAAAGACTAAAGACAAAAAGTGCTGGCTTCAGTATAGCCATAGGGCATAAGGAAGGTTGAAGGAGACCAGAAAACCACCTCAGCGAAGCATCGCTTTCATCCAAAAACCTCCGGCACTTGACCTGAAACGAAGCGCCCCGCAGCCCGTTTCAGGCCGGGCCTTGGCACTGGGTGGACGAGCCGGTGTGGTTCACCGGGTTTCTCGATTCCCTTAAGCAGAGAGCATGCGATCGGTGGAGAGCCAGGGAGTCTACTCCAACTCTTCGACTCGACTGGCGAAAGGTATCATGGTTCAGACGCAGTAGCTGTGGTATGTCTTTGAAGCCTCAAGTTCGAATAGAACAGAATAGAACCACCTGGAGTCTCAGTTACCTCGGAACACGGGTACGGTCGTACCTGGTTTTATGGGGTCGTGTCCCATGTTCTAAGGTACTTTGGAGGGTCCAGGAGCATAAGACCTGATTAGTCCAATACATTGATGTTTCACGCATTCGTTGGGTCCCTCTCTTGGTTTGACAAAGTCTTTGAGGAGTCTCCAACACACCCCTTGGCCAGCTGCACTCAAGTCGCAAGCTGCTGGCCAGGATGACGAGGACGAGGAGGATGAGCAGAGCAGGAGTCTAAATTGCTTTGTATGTAGTCGAAAGACTTTCATCACACTCATACTGATACTTGATTGTTTCACAGCTGAGTCCAGTGGCCCAAGCAATCCTTCATCAGTAATTTGTTCAGTGGTATTTGTATACTTGTCGCACATTGTCGCACCGTCTCAGAAGAGTGTTACAGGTCACCATTTATGTTGGAAGCTATCCCAGACCAGGTACTGAAGTAGTTACATCGAGCTCATACATGGGTTTTTATGCGTGCATACATCTAATATACAACTATACCGCATTTTTAATGGATTGGATGGTCTGGGCGGTCTGGGCATTTGCTGTTCTGTGACCGAGACGGTTCGCCATCGGCCGTGGTTGGGTCCAGCTCCACTCGCAGCCATCGCCGTCGACGGCCGGAGACCGAGACGCCGCCATGGCCCGCCTGTGACGATAAACACCGGTCTCCATCAACATGAGTGCTGCTATATGCTATATGGCTACTCTACGTATATCATCCAAGAAACAGGCATTTTTCACTCAAACATTGAAGGGATCTGTCACCAGCTTATCAGTTTCTGTTACAACCAGTAGTGAAACTGCAGCAGTTTCCACCCGGGCCTCGGTCAACAAGATCAACAAGAAGAAAAGGCCGCTCAAATATGCGGACGGACCTATAGGGAAAGGTGGCGCTTCGTGGGTGAAGCCTTTGGGGATTTTTTTTCCAGCCCGTCCCTCCTTCAGTTCAAAATCATTCCACACCTGGCGTGGATGTCATTTGTATGACACTCGCAATCTTTTCAGGTGACGTGAATGGGATGGCCCCAGAAAGGTTGGACCATGCAATCCCAGGGTCCCACCAACAGGTGGCTTTCCACTTCCATGATTGGTTCAGGCCTGTATACTTCTCAATCAATCGTGAGGTACCCAGATGATTTCCCCTCAGCCCGATTTTGCTTAGGGTGATTTCTATCTATTTGTATTTTGTTAGCGGTAAATCATGGTGAATCCACCAGAACTGGCGACTTTTATATTTTGTGTCCATGTTCAGCCAATCCACGGAACCCACTTCTTCACTCAGCTCCCCTCCCCGCTTCTTCACTCACCTGCAGGAAGGAACGGCGGTACGTGCAGCGGCGGACCAAGCTCGTGAGCTATGTCGCGGAGGCGGAGGGAGGGAGCTGGATATGCTGGAGCGGAAGGGGTGTTCAGGGAGGACATGGTGAGAGGGTACACTGCAGGATTTGAAAGGATTCCGGTGGAGGCCATCGCGAGTAGTCGGTTGGAGGCCATCGCGAGTAGTCGGTTGGAGGCCACTGCGTTTCCCAGTTCCGGTGATTCTGTTCAGTTCGATTGTTTTTGGACAACTTCATCAACAGGATTCTCCGAGTTACCAGAGACAACCACGCCTGTTAGATGCCCAGATGCCCAAACAAGGCAGACTGATTTCGTCTCTGATTTCGTAGGTCGTTTCCTCTCAGATCACTGATCGAATCTGTTTGAGAATACAACGGTTACATCCCCAAAATTGACCCGTCTCACTCTCGAGTAGACGTTGGCCTTGTCGTCCTTTCTTCGGTCAGGAGAGCTCTGAGGTCTATGGGGATCATCAACAGCAGTACCTGGCAGATCTGAGCGACTACATCGCGGAGAGCCGGCGGGCGCGAGTTGCGGCGAGTTTTGGTCGTTTCTCCCAAAAGCGGGGCATCCAAAAAGGGCCAAAACGGATGGCATGTAAACCACCGGAGAGACTGGTTACAAAAGACACCCGGAAGTTTGTTTGGATTCGATACTGCAAGGGTTTCTGACAATTCTGACAACACAGATGGTAATTTATGTGGTAATATCTACCACAAAGAGCCCAGTGTTCCACCCCACCAACTGCAGTGAACAAAGTTTGTCTCTATGATTTCACATGCTTCATTGGGTCAAACAAGCTCTTTTCTCGCCCAAGGGCAAGCCAAAATCCAATTCTCGAGGATGCGAGCGATGATGTCCGCTTCGACTACTTGAACGACAAGTTGGAGGCACGATTCTCGCGGAGCGCGACGAGAAGACATGACAACCAACCATTTGGGGTGATCTTTCATCCTTAGTAGGTTGGAGGCCATCGCTATTAGGTTGGAGGCCATCAAGTCCAATATAGTCCAATAAAAACAGTCCTTTTTCACCTGAGATTTGAACTCACTTCCAGATGTTCAGGCTCTAAGGGCTTCGTTCAACAAGGCCTTACCATGGGCCTAGACGGCTTTTCTCGTCCCCTGGGGCTTCGGGTGACCGACTTGTTCCAGTTTGTTCCACTAGGCTGGCAGTGAGGTAGATCAAGAGCGGCTTCCCAAGGTGGCGCTGGGCGGCGGGCGCAGGGGGCGCAGGGCTGGGGCGGTGTGATCTTAGATGATCATGTGGTACGTATGTTGTATTTGTCCAACGACTTGGATCTAAGATGTTTGGATATTTTTGGACAGTCCAGTGAGTTTTTGTTTTGGGCGCCGGAACCAAAAGGCACCCCGACTCGCCGACTTGCGGCTTTCCTGAATGTTGGAGCGAAAGAATGGCAAGCTTTCAAAGCCGAAACAGAATAGAAGAGGAAGTGAGCTGAAGTGAGCATACCTCGACTTGCTATAAATTGGCGCAAGAACCATCACGAACCATGGTTTCCTTTGTCCAAACGTCAGGTGTTGTATTAGGCTCCGACTACGTGGGAAGAGCCCCGGGATTTGGTGGGTCAAGTCATACTCAGATGGACCCTATTGTGTGTTGTTTTTCATGTTTTATCCTTCCCCACGTGGTGTTTTTCATGGTCCAGTGGGGCGGTTTGTTTGTGCCGAACTTATATAGCTCAGCCCAAAAAGCTCTACTTCAAGACTCATCAACTTGGAAGACCTTTTTCATCTCGGCAATGCTCACCTGGGGTGAGGATTTTGCAGCTCTAGCAGGAAGTAAGTAAGATTTTTTATTCAGATGGTTTTACTGTTCAACAAGCAGTCAGCATGGCCCATGGCCATACGACTTGATTGCTGCCAGGTGCTGGGTCCTGCACGGGATACCCCGGAGTACTCAGCTTGGCATGTCGAGCCTTACAAGGCAACTTGGCTGGGGAGGCCCTTGGTGCGAAAGGCATGTGAACAGACAGGGTCACTGGAGGATGTGTCCTATTTCCTTCAAGCAGGCAGTTGAATCAGGAGGGACTTCTCAGAAAATCTTATTATCGAACCTGTGCTTAGGCAGGGTTGTTCACAATCCTAACAACAACAACAACAACAACAACAACAACAACAACAACAACAAGAACAACAAGAACAAAACCACTAGCAAGATAAACAAAAGGCGATAGCTGTTGATTCTTCAACATTGAGGAACCTATTACAAAGGACCCGTTGTTGTTGGGACTCCTCTTCAGAACAACTGGCCCTGAGACGGGTCTTTTGTAATAGTGTCTTCAAAGGCCCCCTCTCCTAGGCCAACAACCACCTGAAATTGGTCAGCCAACGGCAATTACAACAACCACAGCCAGAACCACAACCACCTCATAAGTTCAATGTTGATGCCTCACTCTGCTGCGGTTCTCACACACAATGGCAGTATCATGCCACAATGGCAGCGGCCATGTACACCAATTCATGCATGCCATGTCTCGCGCCATCCCTTCGTCCCGAAAACATGACGGAGCGCCGCCTTTCGTGGCGAAAGACATGTTTGGACGTCGTGCAGTTCTCCGGGACGTCACGGTCGCGCGTGTCAGCGCTGTATGCCAAAACTTGGAAACCCAAAAACGGTCCCCAAGAGGTAACCGTTCGGCCCAGGGTGAGACCAGGATGTTCGTCTTCCGAAATGCCAGACAAGGGCTAGATGCAAGACACGTCGAAGGAAAGACTCCTGCACTAGATATCCAGAAAACACTGACTGCTACCATGATCCCAATCGAGCTTCATAGTTCATATGTACAAACATGGCCCAATCATTACCAGTAACAGTTGCTAAACGATTATCACTATTCTTGAGAACGACTTGCGCAACCTAAGACCTAACCATCGTCCACTGCTGGTAATGGGCTATACGGTTATACGGCTATACCCACTCGAACTCATCACAAACCATATAAAAACCTGAGAAAAACCACTTGTTCCTCCAGTTGTCTCACCTCAGGAGGAGATGCACCTCGTTGGGGAAATGGGCCCCTCACGGGTGGCGACGCCCCAAGAGGGCGGTCGGTCGGGTCGACCCCAGTGGACCCATCACATCGGTCCGTTTCTCCCACTTGGAGGGGCCACATGGAGTTTTGGGGAGCGCCACATGGAGTTCTTTTCACCTCTTTGTAGTCCACGTCCACCCCAAGTTGGAGTGTTGAATGGGACAATTGTAGGGTAGAATCATGGCACGGAAAAGAGTGGTTTCAGGGTAGATGGCACAAATGCCTAAGATGTCTTTTAGATGGGGGTCCATACAAACCACCTCTTGCGCCCTCTTGGGGGTTGTGCCATCTTCTGTCAATCCACTACAGGATGTCTGTTTCCTTTGGCATGCTGCATTTATTTGCCAAGGGTCATGGATATTCTGCCAGTACCATCAGATCATACCAGATCGCTGGGTGCAAGGATTGTGGATTTTTCGACATGACACGAAACAACACACCGTTGTGTCTATTTAAAATGGTTTTTGCTCAGGGTGATGTTTATTGTTCCAATGGCTCATCCCCTTCTAGATTTTCATTATTTATATTAATGTTTTCGCCATTTACCAGGTGGGTGCTTCCATCTGATTTTGCAGTCAAACATCTCATCTCCCACTGGAATCGACAGCAGAGATTGTTCAGGCCCAAATCATGGTGCCAGGATCCTCCCGGCGTTCAGCAAGACATCTCTACAGGCCCGCTAGAGGTGAGTGAAGAGTCACCTGCTGTTGTTGCATGGTTGTGGTACGATTCTTGTTCTCCTTTTTACGCTCCGCGGAGCGTCTTTTTATCTGGCCCAAAGATTTGGGGCATCCGCTGAGGCCTATTGCAAGTGGTGGGATCGAGCTGCAGGGTGACGGGCCTGAGTAACTCCGTGTCGACGTCCCGACGTCTGAAAGTACCGTGGTTTCAGAGTAGATGGGACAGACCCAAAGATGTCTTTATGAAGGGATCCATATAAACCACCGACATTGGGGTCTGTGCCATCTACTTGCACTATACAGACTTTGCTTGGTTCCTGACTCAACAAGAAGGCAGACAACTATAACCATAGGCATGTTTGGTCTCAAGAAAACCTGATGCCTGCGAGATCGTGTCAGTGGGCAACACTTCCTTTTCAATGACTTGGCCCGAGACCCGTGATCGGAAATCGAAGATACATCCCGTGGAAGAACCTTTCCTGAGAAGAACAACTCACGCGCCGGACCACACCAGTTCACCAGATTTAGCCCCATATTTAGCACCATCCACGGCTTGATTGTGTGTTCCAAACAATCTCAGCCAGTGCACAACGAGCTCTATTCCCCCCAAAGAACTTCGAAACACCAAACAAATGGCGCAACCGTCTTCGCATCTGAAAACGGGTCACATGGTCTGCTCTCTCCGATCACCGAGAACCAACACCTGCCGTGTGCCCTCTCACCCAGATGCGGTGAACTGGTCGACCGCGACGACAAGCGCCCCGTGGCCGTGGTCGCCGCAGCGCTGACCACGGGCGCCAACGTGACGCCCACGGCGAAGTGCCCCGTTTCAGCGCACGAAGATGGGTGGAATGGAGTGAAGGGGAGGGGGTACGTGCTGTTTAGATAGGTCTAGATGCCTGGTAAGGAGGGAGCCCAGAGAAGTTCTGTCATGAAAAAGCAGTGGAAGGGAGTGGAAGGGATATGTTTTTGGGCACATACTCCATGCTCCATTTCTGGTCGGGTTCCCTCGCCGCGGGCCCGCAGGAGGGATCCGACGGTGTGGGCCCCCCTGTGTTTTGGAAGAGCTTCAGGACGTCGTCGGATGCTTTATGATGCCCTATATGGTCATTGAATTTCAGATTCCTTATGTACCAAAACGCTTCTAAGAGTTTCTTTTCTCAACTCTGCTTCTTTCGCCTTGAAGCTTGATTCTCTTCAAGCTCAAGAAAGGAGAGTGGATCCACAACCAGCTGAAGTGATCTTGGACTCCACAACTCTCGACCTATCGGGATCCGGACCCGACTGGACGACTGGCATCCTTCCTGTGCACAGCCCAATTCCACTCCTGGGGGTGGAGGGATGTCACATGGGTGGAACTTAGTCTAAGAATTCCACCAGTTCCATGATCGGGGTGAGGACTTGAGCTCCTTAATTCAGTGAGAGGATACAGGGAGCACCAGCACGACCCCGACATGGAACTCCTGGCACGTTTGTCTTGGTTGGAAGAGGACTAGCTCGAAAGACTAGCTTATTTTTCATAAGATGATCTTGTCATGATCAACCGACCGGGTTCAGGATTGTTGATTGTTGTTCTTTCAGTTGTTCTCCCTAGGGTTCCAAACACCTCAGAAGGTGGTCAGACCCCTCTGGCACTCACCCCAGTCCCACCTTCTGGGTCTATACTTGTAGGATTCTATAGGATTTTTCTTGATCCCTTCTGCCGACCGGCTTCGGATCGTCCAAGACCGGTTTTTTTCCGGCTGAGGTACCTGGCTCAGGGCGAGTGGGTGGAATATCGGAGGCACCGATATGGGAAGAGGGAGCGGAAAGAGGGGAGCACTGAAAGGCCGCCAAATCCCTAAAGGCTGGGGTGCTGAAGTAGCTTCTTGTTCCTAGTAGTAAGGCCAGGATCCCCTAGTAGCGTCCTTGCTCCTAGTAGCGATGCCAGGAGCCCTAGTAGCTTCTTGCTCCTAGTAGCTAAAGGCTGGGGTGCTGAACATCGCTGTATGGTGTTCCATCAGCTCTAGAAAACACATCGACAACACGGGGCTGCTCGCTGGCCCGTGGCCCTGTCACCAGTTCGAACTCGCTTGGGATCCACCGAACATTGTAGAGCGCATTATCTATTACTTAAAATAGCAATACTGGGGTGTTTTTCTAATAGTTGAATAGTTGATTTTCAAAAAATATCGATTTCCCTTTAGCTTACCTTGTTCCTTCTGCCACCCCCTTCTCAGCAGCTGATGCTTCCATAGGGTGGATCTTCACTTCACATTGGTCCTTGGTACAATGATGTCATTGTAGCTCAAGTACTGACAAGATGACAAGTGAAGGATGTTGATGTCCCTCATTGGGTCTATATAAACAAGCCAAGTACATAGATTATATAGCCCTTTGGATGTGTTGTATCATGTTCTTTCAAAAACGTAGGGTAGGCAACAATTGCTGGGAAAGGATGTTCACCAAATGTTCTACCACCGACATCCGGATAGGACTGTGAGTCACTGAGTGGATATTAATGGAATTGGCATAAGTCCAAGCACATGCATGAATCAACAAAGCCATGTCACTCTCGGGATAAGGTTCTACTGATTGCTGCGGTGGGACCAGTTCCGACCCGGGCATCACTTTGGAGTGGGGTCAGTTAAAGAGAGCCTGTGGCAATAAACATTAATAGTGAATGCAACATGTAAACGTGGAATGAAGATTGAAAAGTCACCAGAATGTCATCACCTCTTCACAAAGCATCCTCCATCTATACTTCGGGCCACTTGCCTAACAATCCTGACTGATTTCCGGTAGTCATCCAGCAGCCTTCTTCCTCATGGCAGCGCCTGCGGAAGCAAAGTGGCAGCCAAGCTGAAGCATCAGAAATCCATCACCGCCTGCACTGAATCCTCTTTAGCCAGCTTTAATCACAGGATCATATCCGGGGAGCTGGACAAAGTGCTCAGTGGATTCATGTCTTAAATCAATTATCAAGCCAGGGACTGTTCTAAAAAAAATCTGGAGAGTATGGGATAGACTAGGTGTATTTCTAATAAACAGTGTTCTAACAGGGTGCGACCGTCGCACCCTGTTAGAACACTCACTGACGCGAGCGAGTGTTCTAAGGACACCCCTGGATTCGCTGGAGCTGACTTAATCTTGCGTCCGTCGCACAGTTTTCCTGCGAAAGGCACAAACTTTGCTCAGGTCCAGCGAAATCAGACCCCCCTTAGAAAATTAATTGACGCGAGCGAGTGTTCTAACAGGGTGCAACCGTCGCACCCTGTTAGAACACTGTTTATTAGAAATACACCTAGTCTATCCCATACTCTCCAGATATTTTTTAGAACAGTCCCTGGCTTGATAATTGATTTAAGACATGAATCCACTGAGCACTTTGTCCAGCCCCCCCGGAAATGATCCTGTGATTGAAGCTGATTCAAAAGGTTCAGTGCAGCTGGTGATGGTTTTCTGATGCTTCAGCTTGGCTGCCTCTTTGCTTCTGCAGGCGCTGTCATGAGGAAGAAGGCTGCTGGATGACTACCGGACTTCAGTCAGGATAGATGGAGGATGCTTTACAGGGGTGATGAAATCTTGGTTACTGTTAATTCAACAGTCAGTAAATTCAATCTCCCACAACCTGCACCTTTAACATCCTTTAACTCAGCCAACTACCAAGGGATGCTGGACTTGCCGGATACTGACCCACAAGTGCAGTCAGAACTAGTTCCAGTAGAATCTTACCCTGAGAGTGACATGGCTTTGTTGATTCATGCATGTGCTTGGATTTATGCCAATTCCATTAATATCGACTCAGTGACTCACAGTCCTATCCGGATGTCGGTGGTAGAACATTTGGTGAACATCCTTTCCCAGCAACTGTTGCCTACCCTACGGATTTGAAAGAACATAACACAACACATCCAAGGGGCTATATACTTGGCTTGTTTAGACCCAATGAGGGACATCAACATCCTTCACTTGTCATCTTGTCAGTACTTGAGCATCCACCCTATGGAAGCATCAGCTGCTGAGAAGGGGGTGGCAGAAGGAACCAGGTAAGCTAAAGGTAAATCGATATTTTTTGAAAATCAACTATTCAACTATTAGAAAAACACCCCAGAATATCAGATCTTATTATTCAACTCTTGCTATTGGAGACGGAGACTTTGAAAAATAATATTGAAGGCAGTTCTGGGAAGATGGGAAATCCCTTTCAGGAAGGTGGACAGGTCGAAGTTTCGTGCTCTGTGCCGACGAGGAAACCGGTCGCAGGAGGTCGCCGGTGGAGAGACACGAAGAACACGGCTGGTTACGAAAACGCATGGCACGCATGGGGTGTGTGGCTCGAAAAGGCGTGGAATGCACACAGATGTGTTGTTTGTATTTATTGTTCCGATCAGATAGTTTCGGAGATTGATCATATTCTTTTGATACGTGCAAGTGCAAGTGCTTTTGCTTTGTACTTTGACATGTGACATGATGCTTTGAGAGACTGGGGTTTTGAGCTAAGGGCAAGAGGTTTACACAGGATATTGCATCTTTAAATCACTTGATGACCCTCCTTTCCAGGACGCAGCACACCATGCTTAGTGATTCGCACCAAGCCATATATGAAGCAAAAGAAGCAAAGCACATTTTAAAGCATTTGTCCCTTCCATGTTGCATGATTCTGATGTCTTTTTGGTTTGTCTCGTTCCACCTCCGGTCCGACCACTTCATTTGGACTCCAAGAATCAACCGGAAGCGGGGGCTTCGGACCGCGGCGGCAATCGCATGCCCCGTAGGGTGCCGGATGCGGAGATTGACCGGGGCATCCTGGTGCGTGGGGTGCGAGGCAGGGCCGGCTTGCTCGGCCCTGGTGGAGAGACGGCCGATTTAGAGATTTGATAGACGTATAGTATAGACATCCAAATTCAAATTGTCTGAAAAAAATCGATCACTCTTACTTCCAGTCAATTTACCCCTGCAACTTGCCAGTTCAGGTGGGGGAATGTTGAGGTGCAGTGAGCAAAGTAAAGCCAACGAATCATAGCCGCAGCCAGCAAATCAAATTCATTTTGAAGGGAGCTGGGTCTCAATGAAACCGTTTGTTCTCCTGTCCAATGCATTATTATTTTGGGCGGAATCTGTCCCCTACGCACCCCACATATACTGACCAGCATGTTTTGTGTTTGGATTGTTTGGATTTTCAAATTCAGCTTGTGGCACCGCAAAACCAGCCCTAGAAGTCGAAAGACAAAATGTTGCTTCCCCCTCTGAAGTAAAGGACGTTCCCCATACCAGGTATACCCTGCTGCAGATCTTTCTTTTGATCTCAATATAGTGTGTTGTTTTCGTATGTCTCACGGCTAAGAGGTCTAGGCCAAGTTGGCCAATACATGCCATCTTCCGCCACGATGGACACTGTGAGGGAAGGAGTTACTGCAGCCTCATTGTTCAGAGTCCGAGCGGATCCAATTAAATAATTGTTTATCACAGACCATTGATGGGACGTGGACTGCAGCCATCTGCAGCCACATAGACGGGTCGGAAATAGATGGCTCCCAGTCCTATGTATGGCGATTATTCCAGTCCCATGGGAGGGCGCTTTAGTCTTTGTTTTTTTTGCAGAAAAGCACATCGTTCGAATTCGTTGTCGGGGCCGCCCGAATGTGTTATTTTTTCTGGGTGGCGGTTTCAATCATGTTGAGAACCTTTACTTCGGATGATTGAACCCACTGATAATATGTGTCATTTCTTTTTTTTGTGAGTTGAAACCACCAAGCAGTTTTGGGTTTCGTTTTGAAGTAGACCTGCACTGCCATCACCACGACCTTCGAAGGTGTCGGTTGAAGCTGAAGTGACCACTTTTTCTGCGAAAGCCATGAGCCTTAGGAGCCTCTGTCATCGCAGAAGCCAAGAAACCGTCATGACATCAGTCTCAACACCCCCCATAGAGTTTATATACTGTCTTTTTAATGAGACATTTTACAGCATAACATCTCAGAACATCTCAGGACAGGATTTACAGATTCTGACCATCACACTCATCACACTCATCACAAGTGAACCACCAACAGTCAGCAACTGCCTCCAACCGTCAGCCGGGGGAGACCATCTTCTTCTCGCTGACTTGCTGGTCTTCTCAGGCTGGCCGTTACAGTGTGAAGCGGATGGTTCGCGAGCGCTGCCCAGCTGACCAGACCCGGGGCAGTCCGTTCGCTACTAGCCATCAGTTTGACCCTAGCCAACATGGTTGACCTGGTGGTGCAAAATCCTTCAATGCAAAATCCTTATTATAAGACCATTTGAATAGTTGTTTTGAGATTCAGGCTATGGAATCCAGTGGAAGGGCCATTGGTCTCCAGTCAAACAGCCGCGACGAGGAGTTTTCCATGGTGAAATCACCTCCGTTCACCGGTTCTTTTCAGGTGCCCAGCTGGTGCCGATTTTGGCAAGGTTCCTCAAGACTTTGTGAAGCAGTCACCGGGTACTTGCATTCTCTTGCATTCAGAACAGAAGCCAACCTGTCCAAGCTTTGAACGGGGGCTGCTTTGAACATTGGACAGAGTTCTCTGGAGCTTTCAGCCACAGTTGTTTGTCCGGCCTTGTGACTTACTGCATTCCAATGAGAGGACACCTTCTGAGATCTCTGGGGGTGGACGGTTGATACGGGGATACCCAGACATCTTGCTGATGTCTATTTGTATAGGATGATTGATGATGATTGGATACTTCCCAGAAAATCCACCAGACCGAAATCCATCAGACACCAACTGGTCTACTTGCTGTGTACTTGGCGCATTCTGGGCTTCTACCCGGGATCTGGGCTTCGAATCCCTGGTCGGTCCCGAATCGCGTCGTGGTCGTTGACGTGTCGGGTATTTTCCAGAATCGGCCTGCAGTTTTCAGCAATGTGACGTGGCCGTGGTGTTTCTGTCGGATTGAACCAGAAAAACGAGGTCTCTCGGGCCCTGACACCCCTGAAGTCTCCAGCCATGTGTTTGGTGGATCCATGGCCCCTCAAGGGTTCGTTCTAGTGGTTTTGACGAAACCGGATCGAACTCCTCCGAGTCTCATCAGGTTTCCAATCGGAGGACACGACCCCGGACCCATTCACGGCCTTGGAGCACACCACATCACGAAGTGGAGCCACTGAAGCCCCCTATACTATACTGGCCCTTTTGCACTCCGACTCACTCACATGGAAGTGGAAAATGAGACGCTGGAAGACCATTGGACCATTGTCCTTTACAAACAGGTGGTTTTCCATTTCCATGTTAGTGAGTCGGAGGGTACTAGTGCGCACTGCACTCTCTCTATCGTGCTATCGACATCGGAGCAAAAGGGGTTGCTACATCATCCCACACCGAAGTCATCAGAAGTCCAGATCGCTGCCAGCCTTTGACTTGCGTGACTGCAAGTCCACATTTTGGGAAAAAGGCTCGCCCTTCGAGTTTGGTTCAGGAACTAATAGTCGCGGTACCTGAGAAAACTAGTGCCCAAATGATCGTCCACATCGATTGGTGTGGACGAGAATCCAAAAAGACGTCACATTGACCATGCTCTGCTCCGCGTGTTTTTCCCCGGTCAAAGACCTCCAGTGCGTGTGCCAGTCTTGCAAGTCGTGAAAAAGACATGTGGCAGAGATGACTGGGATATTGGGAGCACGTTCCTGACATTGTTTGCAATCATCTTTGCCCAATCTCGGAGGTAAACGGAAGAGTAGTGCACTAACTTCGTATCAGCAATTCTTTCTGACCCCCTTGGAGGGCACACGCCCTGCATCTTGCCTCAAAGGATTCACGAGGTTCCGGCAAAGACATCTTCTTATAAACTTTAGCAACATGAGTTCCAACATTCAGCTGGACATATGGACAGAGGGAGTGACAGAGGGGTAAAACACACACAGAGGATCATAGATTCATAGATCGAGGCTTCTGTTAGTTGGTATGACTTATTCACTGTATCCTTTGGGTGTCTTGCCTCCCCACCTGACAACGACCCTCAGACACGCAGACACGCAGAACTGGAGAAACTCGGAGAACTAGCAGGTTTGTGACATGGCCAAGTGAGACTTCTCCCGCTTTCTGCCCAAGAAGCTCCTCTTCAACTGAAAGAGGAACCCATTTTCTCCGAGAAATCCCGGTCTTGCGACACGTTTGAGCTGATTCTGCCCTCACTGGTGAGACACGCAGATGTTGATTAGATTCTCTTCCAATTCTGCTGGGCTCTAGCTGGGCCTCGTGTGCCAGTGCGGTCCATGAAAGCCCCTTTGGCTCTAGCGGAGTCACTTTCGCAACGAAGTGGGCGCTCCGTCGTGGTCGGTGACGGTATCGCCATGTCCACCCTCCTTCGGGTCCCGCTGCTCAGCGTGGCCATGTGGTCTCTCGATGTGATGTCCGGAGCGGGTGGGCCCCCTGGGTCGTCTGGATTCCCGGAGTGGACTGGTTTGGTAGAGTTGTTGGGAGATTTGGAGTCACCCACTGGGTGCACTTCCAAACCACGTGAGTCTCCGGCAATGACTTGAGAATCCACAGCATACCTATGTAACAATATGACCATGTTGTTCCTCCAGGACCTTCCTTCAAGGTTTGCTCATGGGCTCCATTGCGTCCGATGGGATCTGAATTTCTGAGGTTCTTCACTGGAAGTGCTTTGAAGACCGCCGAATTAGACTATTGTATCGGAGAAGAAATGGATGTGGACATCGAAGCGTGTGGCGGGGGCGTTATACCCGCCCCCCCGGCAACCGACGGTCGTGCTGCCGGGTCAGTGTCGGTGGATTGGATGGACGCATTCCCAGACGCTCCATGGGACTGGATTGTTTTGCCCTGGATATCCTAACCAGCAAAGAACCACTGTTCTACTAAGGATGTTGCACTTGCAAAACCAAGTCAACCATTTTATGCAAGGTCTTGGACTTCCAGGGTATACCTAGCACTTCCAAGGCGTGTCCAATACGGGCTGACTTTGACAAGCAGCTGGTATGTAGATGGTTGTTTATATAGGTGTTGACCATCATTGAGCCCCTTTCAAGCAACCACCCCAAAGTAGATCAAGATGCCAGTCCCAGTTGTTGTGTCCACAACGATCAATGAAGAAGACTCATTGGAACACTGCGCCAAGTTGTGTTCAGACGGTTTGGTCATAGGCTAATTGATTTCCAGATGGCCACTCAATTTCAACTTCCATGAACTTCTACTCCTTGCCAGCCTCTAGATTCCCTTACAAAAAAAAATACACATGATGAATGGAGAAGCCTTGCCAACACATGGCTTGGCGCGTTTCTTCTCTTTCGTGCCGTCCTACCGACGTTGGGTAGGTGAACTGAAGAATCAGTTGGACTCTGGAAGACGTTGATTTGGCAACGCCGGGGTCTTCCGAGCGTTTCGGAGCCCAAAACGGGAATCACTTTGCGGAGCCCAAAACATCGCCCCAAGACTAACTGGGTTCTTCGGTGGTAAGGTGGGGGTGCTGGAACTATTTGATGTAGGGGGCCAAACGCAGGGCTGATTCTGATGATCAATTGAAGCATGGGGCGTCGGGGGCGAATTGAGATGACTCTTGACTCGTAAAAAGGAAGATTGAATCATGGTTTCTGGATGATGCTGTACAGTTCTGATGATGTATGTTTGATAAGATGTCAATCCACAAGGTCTTACCTGTTGTTTGTACAGTTCTTACCTGTTGTTTCTGGATTGAATCCACAAGTTGTCAAGATTGGCAAGCATTTGAGACCGTGGAGGCACGGCACAACTATCTGTGGGGCTGTTTCCCTTCGCTCCTGCTTGTGACTTCAAAGTTGGGCCAAATGAGGGCTGCAACACGAAGTATGTGAAGATTGCTTCAGGCTATGCTCAGTGCAAGGAGATCCTTTGGAAGCATTTGCCAGGTATAGACTGGTTTTGGGGAGCCTGTGTTCAGGTCGGTTGCCAGGTAACCTTAGGTTTGTGGTATTGGAGGTGTTGTGAATAGAACCAGTAACCCGGAGCAAATATGAATCTCCATTCTTGGGCGCAAGAAGTGTGGCAATCATGCACATTTGTCCTTGTTGTCAGGTACATGGCATAACATGGCATACCCTAGGGCAGAAAATATTTGGATCCTCCTTACACCTACCCAAGCACTTTCTCAGAAGGTGGGATAGTGTTGGCTTGGCTCATCCCGAGCCCGACCAATCGGACGGGACCCGCCAGCCGCCCATGAAGGTCGGAAGTGAACATGCCGTTTTCTTTGCAAAGGAAGTAAAGATAAGTAAAGGATTTGGGCGATTGTGTGACTGTGTTTTTGGTTCTTCTGTCTTCTGGGAAAAGATGCGCACATCAATTGAAGACTACTCGGGTATAGAATCAAACATCATTTGTTCATTTTTGTCGGCATGCGGTAGAAAAACAACTATATATTTTGTAGTACAGACAATTACTTTGTTTGGATGGTCATGTGCACAGCATTCATCACACGCTCGCAGAGTGCTTGCTGCTTGCTCACCCATGCCTCTACGCTTAGCATACGAAAATGTTGACTGGAGATTTGTGAAGCATCTCCAGATAGTGCGTTTATGCATCAATGGCATTACTTTCTAGAAGCTAAGACCACTCAACTGCAGCAGGTGCTCACTCTCATCGCCCCAAATATGTGATTTGCTGCAGAGCAAGTCGAGAAGACTTGAACACGAGTGCCACGGAGGAAAATGTCCTCCGCCGAAGTCGCTCCGCCGCTTGCGAAGGGGCACTCATGGGTACCGGGCCAGCCGGTGCTTAAGGACCGACGGTAACTGTGTCACGGATAAGATTTGCCAGAAGGCTCCTACTCCCAAGTGCCTTGGTTTGGAAGCTGAGCTGGGGTGCAGGGCAAGGGTGCCGAACTGGAGCTGGTTGGATGGTTTGGTTGAAAGTATAGAACACGATGGAAAAACACGACGGACATAGCTGCCTCATGTCCTCCAACCAGGTGCGTTTGATTCCATCAACGAGTCAGCAAACGAGTCAGCAGATGTTTGCCGCTACTGTTTGCCCAACTGGCAGGTGCCATCAGGGTCCAAACCATGAGACATCTATGCCATTAAAAATTGATTACAATAATACAACATCCAGGAGTCACAAGACGGGGTGCCGAACTTGGAGGTTAGGGGTGCCCAGCTACTCCACTCACTGGATGGGACCAAACACCACCCCGACATGTGACCCCTGGATGAATTCTTTAATCCAGGCGTCACAGAGCTCAGAGTGCCCTACGAACGGAGGAATCCAGGACAGAGCTCGGGGTGCCCCTGTCGCATGCATCCACGGCGCCTGGATTTGGACGGAAAACCACCCCGAGCTTTGTGACTCCTGGATGACCACAGCACTTGAATCGAGGTTTGCAACCACAAATCGTAAAAGAACATGCACCCTTGATAGTCCGAAAGCAACATACACTCGCAGAGCTCATTTGCACGGATTGTTGGAACGGACGCAGTATATACAGTAGATCCATGCAGGAAACGATCAAATCAGGAACGTCCAGGAGTTTTTATTGCTCAGAACTATCCAAAAAACAGTGCCATATCCAGGATCCTCAAACCTGTTATCGCCGAGAATCTTCACCTTATTTTTTGCAGGGCTATGTCATGTTTAAAGTGCTTTCCACCCTGCAGTGTATCCAATGCTTCAATGTTAACCCACTTTCCCAAAGCGCCAAACCACTGGGGTTTTTAATCGGATTTCCTATAACTTCAATGACATGAGCGTTGTTGTAGAGGTTCTTTGCTTGTCGAAGCCCTTCCTTGCAAGGTGGTCAAGGACTGGGTCTCTACGTCCCCCCATCACCAGTCCTTGATGTTCGCAAAACCTCGACCCCACACGTGGCTCACGTCCCCAGGGAGGTGTGCTATGCTGCGAAGACGCCCGACAATCAGAAGTACACAGGACACCACGCACTGAACTGATTCTCCTGCATCTGCAGCACTCCCCCACCGCTTCTCCTCATCCGGCAAAGCCGTTGGTATGTTGCCGGCCAGGCTGAGGCCTTCGATTTCGGGATCGTTTTTGCGTGCGGTCTCGATGTTGGTAAGCGGAGACCGCGTTGGTCAACGTTGGTCACTTGTGTGCGGTTTCGCCAGGAATTCGATTTCGGGATTTGGGACCACCAAAAAACCGCCAGGGAAAGGTGCCAGACCATTCATCAGGATATATACATGTATGATCATGTACGGGTCACGTGGATGGGTTTGGAGGTGCCGTCGCGTTTTGGGCTGGTCATCAATTGAGTGGTGTCCTTTCGCCACATTGACACCACGGAAGATTGGGGTGTGAAGCAACTCTGGCCGAAACTCCCCGGCTGTGTTTGATGTTTGATGATGTTTGATGATGTTTGACATACTCATCTGAGATTCGCTGGTCTCCCCACCTGGCTTGCACACACAGTTCGTTCGATCTGGGTCCAAACGGAGGCCAGTCGACGCCAGGAGACCACTGGAAGCTGGCGCCCGGCGCGCAAAAGCAAGTGGCCTTCAAGGTGAAGGCCTGTGGATGATGCATTTTCGGGCGCGACCGAGGTGGCGAGGGGTGGGAAGATTTGGATTGACTAGGGCGTGGACAGGCCACCTATAGCACTGAAGTGAGACACCTTAAGGACATTTAAGGACGGATTTTAAAAATAGGCACGGAATGCAAGAGATTGGTGAGATATGGTGAGATCAAAAAATTAGTCGAAAGATTCTGGTCCTATAGAGCTTCACCTTGAAAAGCATCTAGGCTGGCGATGGCTGGAGTAGTCTGTTGTGCGCCGGTTACTGTGCCCGGTTACTGTGCCAGGTTGCCAGTGGATTGAATGACATGCATGCAACTGTTCCCGCAACACAAAGACTGATGACACGTATGTTACGTATGTTGCATCATGTTGCGAGGCGAAGAACGATGCCCACTTGAGCTTCTTCGGTGGAAAGAAGGAACAGGGGAACCGCTATGAGATTGTGATCGGCGGTGGTGGCGACAAGTTCTCATGGATCAGGAGATGCACCAGCAACAGGTGCCACAACAAACATGAGTTGAAGACGCTCAGCTTGTTTCAGTACCTAGTGGAGTCTCATGTCTCACCATGTCTCATATACATCGTTTTCAAGCAGCAAATGGTCTCGAAACCATGTGCTTGGTGTCGTCCACCGGCTTCTTCGACCGGACCCACACCGGTGAGTTCCGTTGTTTTCAAAGACCGATGCAGAAGACCTGGCACAAAACAAGGCCAGTCCGCTATGTCAGGTCGTAACCCGCCAGCGACATGTTGAAGGACATGAAGTATAGACCTATAATATATAGTGTATGGCCTATGTTAGATGTTTATTTATTGGCAATCATTTCCGCCTAAGTAGGCCTAAGTTTATTTAGGTTCTGGGGTATACGGTATACTACTTGGCCGTTTGTGCGCCCTGCTTGTGCCACGTCAGGAAGACGGGATTCAACGGGAAGCTTTCGGAGGAGAGAGAGTTCTGGGCCACCTGTGAGAATGGCAAAGTGCAATGGGGCACCGGCCTGGTGGTGGGCCAGAGCATGCAGCAGGAATGGGTGGATTCGGATCCAATGGAGTGCGAGTATGTCGACATCAGGACCGGGTTTCCGCGGCCTTTCCGGCCACGGATTTGGAGGCTTTTTTCGTTCTCCCCTTCTGTATACGTCATACAAAACGCCATGGACCGCCCGATAGCCCAATGCCGCCCAATGCCTACACCATGGGGGCTTCACCCGCTTCAGCCACAATCCAAGTGACAAGTAGTGTGAAGTCAATTGAATTGCCGGAGCCTTTTTGGTTTTGTTCCATTCCAAAGCCGAGCTAAATCACAGTCTGAAGATCCCATTCTCCCAAGACATTTATATCATCTAAATCCTGGTCGGCTCATTTATCGATTGCGTCGGATGATGTTTGCCAGGTTTTGTAGGGTATTTCTTTGGCCTTTGAACATTGATTCATATTGACAGTGAGCGTGCTGGAAAGTAGAGAGATGTAGATCTTCCTGAACTCCCACACTTGACTCCCTTCTGGCGCACAATACTGGTTTGCATTCGGCTTGAGGAGCCAGAAACCAAGTAAACACCGAGTTCGCCAGAGGGGTTGCCACCGGAGATTCGCCAGGACCGGTTGGGGCTCCACAGGCGACTGGAACTTCTGTGTGAGGGGCTCGAAAAAGTCATGCCACGAGGTGAGCACCAAGGACAACAAGAAATATACAGGAGCGATCTGGGGTGATCCGCCCGGAACCATTGATAGACCTCCGTAGGTTGACAATGTATGACTATGTTTGATATGCAGCAGTTGCTTTTTCCAGTGTTCATTTGGACAGAACCCTTTTTGTGGAATATGTTATGTTTGAGATTGTTTGAGATACTTTCCCGGCGTGCAGCTTCGTCTTAGACTCCCTGGCCAGGGGGACGCGCGTAGACTTCTGGTAGACTGGTGCAATGTCTTAGAGATTCTTAGAGGATAGGTGAATCTGTTTGATTCCTTTTATATGAGCGCTTGGGATTTGGCTGTTCACCCATGCAGATATCAACTCGAGGTCCAAAGTCTTGCCCCTCTAAGTGCCTCGAAGCCTTTCCGCTAAATATAGGTACTAGTGAGTTTTTCGCATCACTGGAAGGACGAGCGCAAATGATTCGCCTGAAAGTAGAGACATCTGGACACATCCTGAGACTAAACTGCCGCCAACCCAACAGTTCAGAGAGGTTCTTCCAGTTGCCTGTTCCGAGACTCTCCTCTCTAGAACCTGTGGACCTTGAGGGATTCGTTGGCTTTCAATGCTTGGAGCGATTGTGGAATTGCGAATGAAGACCCTGGAGTAGATAGAGCAGTGCATATGTTTCCTGAGAGAATAGAATTTACATTCAATTCATAGATGGGTTATATACCATTTCATCCTTGAAACCCACCAGCCTTCTCCCGTCGCTTGCAGATGTTGTAGCTAGTCACGTTGGAAGACCATCGGGTCTTCCATCGGAGCTTCCTATGAAAGCGTGAAATCATGATGTAAATCACCCAGCGCCATGCAAGGATAGGGAATTGCTGGGCACTGGCTCGGCATTTTTCGGCACACGGTAAGTGTGGTACCTGTGCCGGACCGAACTCCACACATCGACACTGTGTCGGTGACCTAAATGCTTGCAACATGTGAACAAACATGGGCCACGTCACCGAATCTTTGGGTCACCGCAACGCGTTGGGTTTTTGGACCTAGTTCAGTTCAGCGGTGCTCGGACACCCACGAAGGACCAACGACGCGTGATGCCTCACGCGGAAGCTAGCGTCGTTCTTGTTCAAGAAGGGTGTTTTTTCTCACTTGCGTGCAGGAACTCATTGGATGCTGCCCAGAGGTGTCTGTGGCTAAATGACCTTCTCTTGGACCCAGTGTGAAGACTTGTAGTTTGAGGTTTGGGGGCGGAGAACCGCATGAGGGAAACACCGCCGGCCGAAGGACATGTTCCTGGAGCTTGGGTGTGGCTCAAAAGCTACTAAACTGATCCAACCTGCACAGAGAATCTCAAGTTCTGTTCTGCAACACCTGTCGCAACCAACTCCAGCATGTGCGGCGGGTCGGTCGTGGATGATTGGGCGCTCGAAGCGAAGGTCCTGAGAAGAAGGTGGTGATGAAGGTCAAGGCCAAGAACGATGCACATGTGGGCTTCTTTACCAAGAAGTTTCGCGGCAAGGATCAGGGATCAGCACCCAGCAGCGTGTGGGTTGCGGGAGGTTGTTTTCAATCGTTGGATCAGTCAAATCAGCTTTCGGGGAGGAGTAGGAGTAGGAGTAGGAGTAGTAGCAGTAGTAGTAGCAGCAGTAGTCGTAGTCGTAGTACTAGTAGCAGTAGCAGCAGTAGCAGTAGCAGTATAGCAGCAGTAATAGTATAGTACTGTTGTTGTTGTTGTTGTTGTTGCTGTTGTTGTTGTTGTTGTTGTTGTTGTTGTTTTTGTTGTTGTTGTTGTTGTTGTTTTCCCTTTTGTGTGTCAATGCTTGGAGCAGATCAGGTAGTTAGATAGACTCTCCAAAAATGGATTGTTCTCTGTGTGCAGAACTCCTTTGGGGGTGTGCTGGGGGTTGTCTCACAAAGAGACAGCCCCTGGGGAATTGGTGGACATTTCTTAGGGTGGCCAGTTTTGCAATTTACTGCAATGTGTTCCCAGGAAGAGCAACCAGAACATGTACGAGATTGTCATTGGTGGCTGGGGTGACTCGCAATCTGTGATCCGGCAGTGCAATCTTGGATTACTATTTGAGCAAACATTTTATTTGTTGCTGCTATTGAAAACTCTCCTACTACTGCAAAGCCCTTCTTGTGCTGATCAGACTTCATGAAGATATTGACAGGAGATTGCTAGTGATGCTCTCAGAATACAATCAACAAATAGTTTCGCGCACACGCAATGTTGATGCTTTGATTGCTTTTCAATCACCATCCATAGTTTTTGTCAAAACACCATTAGTATGATGAATGCGTAGTAGTAGTAGTAGTAGTAGTAGTAGTAGTAGTAGTAGTAGTAGT